TGTTTGAGACGCCGGATGGGCACCACCAGTTCTTATCCCCCATCAGACGGTTAAGAAATTGTCCGGTCAACACACGCGGCTTTGTTAACATATCGATCGACCGTACACGCACCAACCTGCACCAAGCTGATCCAGTGAATGCATATCCCTATGAGTCTTTGGTCTTCCTTGACGAACATTCAAATACCTTCAACCCATAGGATTCTAGAGGTGTTTGGAAATCCTTGGGCTCTATCCAGTGTTGAGAGCAAGCCTCTCAAAGTCTTTCAACTGTGCGGCACTTTTGACCAAGGTCAAGTCTACTTCAACGGCTTTGCGGCATCCCTACATCCATAGCCTTACTCTTTTTCCAGAGAGGCCGCCAACAACGGCTTCCTTGCAGCATGTGCAAGGTCCATTTGTACCAACCTGGATCGCCAGTTGCTGTTTGTTTCCCCCCTGCACTTTACCCCAAAAACCAGCAACAGTGACTGAACAAAAACAGCAACTTGGCTATCTAGGAACCGTTTTTTCCCCTTCGAGGGCAGTCCACCTCTTCCGTGGCTTTCAGAGGCCTCGCTGGGCTGCCCCGGCGCTCCTTCCAAGAGGTTCCGGAGCATGCCCACCTCCCGGCCGCGAGACTCTCGCTCATCACCCAGGCCTCAGCGGGGTGACTGGGGGAACTCCAAATCAACCGTTGATCCATGTACGAAGTGGTTGCCATCTCACTTCCTGATGCAAAAACGTCCAGACTTTGCGTTTTTCACTAAAATGATGAGTCTTCCCAAAATGCTTGAAGAAGTCCATGAACACAGGCCGTGAGCCATTGAAATTGTCACTTTTGGAGATTCCAAAACGGAAATGGAGGAAACCCTGGCCGGAAACCCTGGCCAGAAACCCTGGCCGTGGATTCCTCTCTTGACCAAACGCTAGACTACCAATAGCAGGTCTCTGATATGTGAGAATGTTGTTCTAAATGTATGACGCCGGAGCTTGTTCGATGTTGCCTCGGCATGCAGTTCAACATCAACGTTGGACACTTGCATCACCCTCCTCATGGCCTCTTCAACCCCTGGCTGCGTTTGCTAACCCTCACGCCTCTCTTCATCCTCGATCAGTTTGTGGATGCATAGAAGGTGGATTTGCACCAATGAACGGCACCAATTGGATTGGTGTTCATGCGCGCGTGAGCGGGCAGGGACCCCTCTCGCAAGTATGAAATGTTTTTTCATGCGAGAGGCTTTGCTCGCTTGCTCTGGAGAGAAGCTGAAAGGCTTTGGGGGGCTACCTAACCGTCTTGAAGACGCCGTGAACCAAGCAAAGATCCTTACATCATACACCTAAACATTGCCTTGTAAATGGTGGTTTCCTTTTATTTTGGTGGAAACAGCCATGTTTCAAATGGGCAAAATCCTTTTTTTAAGGAGCCCTGCCAAGGAATATCTGATTTTGATTCTCCCACTGATTCCTCCTGCGCCTGGTAGCATTTTCTCAAGCCGAACATCGCTGAAGCAAAGCTGGCAACACCGGGGCTAGGGCAGAGATTGGAGAATCCTCTGGTGTGAATGCCCAGATTTCGTCAGAATTACAAGTGAGCCACAATCAAAAAAATCAGAACTAAAATGGTGAACCCAGAACCATGCAAAGAATTCAGAAGGCGGATATCCGCAGCTATTTTATGGCTGGGATTGGCCCTTACTAACCTTCATCTACCCGGGTTTTGGTTGTGGCCCAGGTGCTTCTGCGCCTCCCCCCCGCTTCTTTTTCGGCCTAATCGTCTTTCGCCGCTAGGCCCGCCAGGCTCTCTCTGTTCTTCTTTGGACACGAGCAAAGGAAGCGAGAGACTCAGTTGCCCAAAGAACCCAAAACATGAGAAGGGGCCATGACTGAAAGTGAACAAAACACTCAAAGGGTCCATTCAGTTTTGGGCAACTGAAGATAACTAACCTGTGAGCTCTCACGAAGCTTGGGATCGCTGATCAGCAAGGCTCACTCCAAAAGATGCGTCCTGCAGACACGAAGCACACCAGTGCGAAGGCCTGGAAAAACACACATGCTCCACGGACCAAAACTCTAAACTCGGAGTCCACTGGGACTCCAGTAGTTCTGAAAGTGGAAGACTTTGCAAACTCTGTGTTTGTGACTTGTACGGGGTGGTGTAGATTCACAGTCCCGAAATCATTCCGCAACCATACAATGGAGCCTTGAGGAAGTTGTCTAATGTAGAATGGGTTGCTGGACAAACAAAAGATGCTTTTGTATTTCTGTTGTATTGCGCAGGCTTGGGGCACCCCTGACCATAATGTGCAAAATGCATACCGGGTCATGCTCAGCTCATGCCAGGCCCCACGCTGAGGCCTATTCCCCCATGTGCGGCATGTATTGTTGCGCACCGAACTTTCAAAACCCCGCACTACAACACACCACAGAACACACCCTGCACGTAAAAAGAACATCTGCCAATAGAGAGGGTAGGTATTCAAACCAGCCGTCCCCTAACTAAGGTCCAAACAGCTGGCAAAGCCGCACTTGGAAGAAGAGGCGGCTTTACCCCGCGTTCGGTCCGTCCATGCCCCATTCTGGAGCTCAAGGTTCGGTCAGTCTCAAATGCAGCCTGTGGATCTACTTGAACAAACATCCCGGAAGTTTGATTAGCGACTAAGCGCAAAGAGGAGAACAAGGACCACACTGCTCCCAATGCCAAACCGAGTCCTCGCGATCGGGCCGGAAGTAGGGGACAAGAAACCTGGCAGAGGCCACAAACAAAAAAGCATGCGATGGCCGCAAAGTCGGGAAGACCTTGTGGTGACTCTATCAAGGCACTTGTGGCTCTACGCCGCAAAATATGCAAGACACTGGCGACTCTATCAATTCTGCTGACTTCAAATTGCAGCTGAAAAGGGCATGTAATCACCTGCTCGAATCGTCAACTCAAGGTTACCCGGAAAGTCTGCAGCATTTCTCCTGCCGGAATGGCTTCCATATCATTTGGCCATGCCAAAACACTGCTTAGAGTCTAGATTGCGTATATCAACATGGGCAAGCCAAGCCAAAAGAATTGGGTGGTGCTCTTTTGAATGGCTGCAATGAATAAACAGGGATCCTTACATTATACACCTGATCATTGCCTTGTCAAAGGTGGTTTCCCCTTATTTTGGTGGAACAAGCCATGTTTCAAATGGTTGCAAAATGCATCTTTTAAGGAGCCCTGATAAACTGAGTGAGCAATCGAGTGATTCGCTCAGTGGCAAAACTCATAACCCGGGCATTGGACCTATGGTGGCAGGGGAGACTTGCCGTGTCCGGCATGAGCCTTCGCTCCTTCGCTTCTCTCTTCATTCAGAATTTCGAAATCCGGGATCTTGTACTTCAACTACTTTCAACCACACCCACAGAAAACACAATTCTGAAATCATTCAATTCAGAAGTCCAGGTTTCACTGTTGCACTCCAACCACCTTCAACCGCCACAGAAAATTCCGTGCAATGTCGGACACCTTGCCCAAGACCCGCATCCCTTGGCCTCTCGTCCAGGCTTTGCCAGCCCCTGGCCCGATTTCAAGCCAAGGGTCGAGCCATGAGACAACTGGGCGGTCCGTTTTCAGCCACCCCCGCAAAAAGCGACGAACTTTTCGTGGATGCAATTCGGACATCCAACCAGGGGACCGCAGAGTGTAGTCCATTCCATTTCCCAGGGTTCCATTTTGGGTACCTATGTTTGACCCACTGCCAAATGAAAACCCAACCACTAAACACTACAAAGATCTAAAAAGCTAAGGGACCGGATGGAGCAAGTAGCCACCAAGAAAAGGCGCCAGCTGAACAATCTGGAACATTTGGTGGAATCATGGACAGCGTGTCATTGGGAGTGCGTAGAACATGCAGCGGTATTATTGTTTTAAAGATTCAAGCAAACATCCATATAATTGCACACTCTCACATTCCTAGGGCAAAGTGCGGATGCCTTGCCTCATCTTCCAACACCATCGGAGAACCCATACATCTTTGCCAACGTTCCAAGCTTGTCCAAGCATTTCCCCCGGGGTCTTGCGCAGGGCATGACATCCCACCCGGCCAGCGGCTCAAGCTACCCATCTCAGGCCTTTCCCCCTGCTCCCCCGCCCCGGCGCCCCAGCCTGCCGAGGCCTTGCCCCAAGGTGCCTTGAGTTGGGGTGTGACCTGCGAGAGCGCAGCGACAAAGGCCGTGAAGGCTTATGCGGCTCCCAGGGTAGCCGACCAACAAACATAGGGGAAGGGGCAAGTTCACGGAGGGGGGCTGAGTCTCACATGGGTTCTGAGCATACAGGCAAGCCGAGTACATGATCATGATGCGTAAGACATGGTGGCGGGCATGGCAGCTAGCATACGGCATCCTGCTAAGCCATTCTGCCATCTCACCGTGAAAAGAAAGTACACACGATTTCAAGCATGTCTTGGTGAGCTAGCACTCTTGATAGCCTGGGTAGTCTATTCAATCCGATGTCCACGTCTGAAGTTGTGTGTGTGTTGTTGTTGTTGTTGTTGTTGTTGTTGTTGTTGTTGTTGTTGTTGTTGTTGTTGTTGTTGTTGTTGTTGTTGTTGTTGTTGTTGTTGTTGTTGTTGTTGTTGTTGTTGTTGTTGTTGTTGTTGTTGTTGTTGTTGTTGTTGTTGTTGTTGTTGTTGTTGTTGTTGTTGTTGTTGTTGTTGTTGTTGTTGTTGTTGTGTTGTTGTTGTTGTTGTTGTTGTTGTTGTTGTTGTTGTTGTGTTGTTGTTGTTGTTGTTGTTGTTGTTGTTGTTGTTGTTGTTGTTGTGGTTGTTGTGTTGTTGTTGTTGTTGTTGTTGTTGTTGTTGTTGTTGTTGTTGTTGTTGTTGTTGTTGTTGTTGTTGTTGTTGTTGTTGTTGTTGTTGTTGTTGTTGTTGTTGTTGTTGTTGTTGTTGTTGTTGTTGTTGTTGTTGTTGTTGTTGTTGTTGTTGTTGTTGTTGTTGTTGTTGTTGTTGTTGTTGTGGTCGTCGTCGTCGTCGTCGTCGTCGTCGTTGTTGTTGTTACCGATGCCGCAGTGCTTGCCCTGCTCCCCCCACAGTTCCTGAAGGTCTTGGCCGCATGTTCAGCAAGCGCATAACCTCGGGTGACGCAAAGGTGGAAGCTGCACATCCCGAATATGGCCAAAGACAGCAAGCACCCCAAAGAACTGAACACATTGTGTTGGGCAATTAGGGCAGCGATTCCTATCATAGGCATCTCGAGTCTTTTGTGTGCCTGGGCACTCTGGATTCACCCCCATGCCTCCCTTAGTGATCGCTCCCAAATGTGTTCGACAAAGCTCACACCGATTTTTCAACATGTCGCTCACTGCATCGCTTTGCCGAACAGGGCTTCATGCCAACTTGGCTATCAAACACGAGCAGCCAAAGGGATCAAGGTCACCAGGACTTTATGATGGGGACGTACGAATACATCTGAATTCTCGGAATCGCAAAGCCATACTGCCCTGTTGAGGCCTTGATCCAGGATTGAAGCTCCCCCAGGGACAACGGCCACCTTGTGCCTTTGAGAGTTGCTCAGCGACTAGCCCCCTCTCAAGAATTATCCATCCCAAGCAAATCGGACATATTGGAAGTACACTGCACGGATGTGAGTTGAATATTGACCAGCCGACAGCCGACTCAGCAAGAAACAGCCAACATTCAGCGTCTTGTCAAGCTCAAAAGAAGGATGCAGCCTGCGAGCGGTACATCTCTTGCCCTCACCTGTAAACCCACTCTCATGTTCCTCTCGGCTGGATGGTCGGGCACTGACCGGGCCTTAGAAGGGTTAAACGGCCAACAACTATGTTGCCTCAAGCTGCCGACGAGATGTCTAGGTCCCCGGCAACCGGAAACAGGCCGCCGAACACGAGGCAGTTCCTGACATCGAACGCCGAATGCCGACGGGCAGTCCAACCTGAAGGGCAGGCCCGAGGCTCCACAAGAACCAGAACCAAGCGGGCCAGGGCAAGGAGTGAAAAACACACACCGTGGATCACATTCAGTGGGCCGAGCACGTGGCCCGCCCTCGGCCGTAGCAGAAAGCAAAAATGCTGACATTCAGTTGACACCAAGCCTTGCCTAAGGCGACAGGAAACAGTACAGCAAAAAAAACTGGCAAAAGCTGGCAAAGGAGGACAACCTCAAGCTGATGATGATGCGCACTGACTTGGCGCTGACTGGCCTGCCAATTAGCGATGCAGCTCAAAAGGCATCGCTCTTCAAATGCTGCCAGCGGCAACGGGCAAGGTTCTTTATGTTCTTTCTTTTACTGGGGGCGGGGACGCTGTGTGCCAAAGTGGGCCTGGATCCCATCTGGGAGAGCGGTAGAGAAGCCGTGTAACAGAACGCAGGGCAACACGTCTGCGGTTCCACTCTATCTTTTCACTCTCGGGCGCTTGAATTCTGAGGCTGCTCTCTCCTGTGAATGGATTTCATAACCAATTATGCCACTGTTGAATCGAAACCAACAACCAATAATGCCACCGTTGATGCACGCTAGTGCTTTGGCACCTGATGTAAACGCAGCATCTCGTCTGCTAAATTTGAGCTAGCAACATGCGACTTGGTTGCTGTTGACCCCCCTGCAAGAAGTTTTAACTTTTTGGGGGTTTAGTGGAAACCCCTTGATTTCCCAAAAAGTTAAAGTCTAAAGATCCAACCCAATAGCTGTCAAGACGATATGTAGTTGGTGGGCAGCCATGGCAGGCAAAGCTGGTAATGCCCATCGCAGCCGAGTCTCACCAACACGATGCCTAGAACCGTAGTTACCTCAGGGACCGATGCTGTCAAGGCTTTCCAGGTCAGCAGCGTTGTAAAGGACAAGCCATGATGAGAATTCGTTAGCCGTAGCATTTACAGGATAAGCAGGCCAGTCAAGCCGCAGTGCTGAACTTTCCACATGAAACCTCCCTCCAGCGCGCATGTGCAATGTATCATAGTTGCTATCATTGCCTCTCCGTACCCTATTGTCCTGCCATAAATCAACTTTGGCATGCCATCGAACAGCACGGTCCAACCTCGTGGAATAGCATGCAACATGCATCTTCGCTCTAGAGGCTCATGCTGCCCAACAAATATCAATAGACAGGCAAGAACTCTCTCACGTCCCCTTTTCACCATACCAAATGCACCATCGCTCAGCAGGCTGAACGGGGACGCATGGATTCCTGGATGGGTACAAGGGGACAGCACGCCAGCCTGAAACACCCACAGGTCCCATCCGCAAAGCAGGCCCATGAAGCCGGGGCTTTGACCGTCCCAAACTTTGATTCCCCGACCCAACTCCTACGCCTACATGCGCCTTGGATAACGACCCCAAGCAATAAGTTGCAAAATGTCCAGCTTACTGTGCTGCACGCACTGTAACCTGAAGGGACATTTTCGCAGGATTGCTGGCGCTTGGATCACCTGTCATTCCCTTGCTGCCCTTGCTGCCAGAGGCGCCATGACTCTGTCCAGGTGCGTCTGGTCATCCTCTGGTGGCACTGCCCTCAAGATCAGCGCGTAGGCGATGGTACCCCGCATGCATCCCGCCATGGCCTTATCCCATGCGGCCCACGCGGCTCCGAGCCGATTTTTCCGGTGATCGGTGAGGTGCCTTTCGGCGTGTTTGAGAAGGTATATTACCCAAAGAGTCCCTTGGAACCTCATATTTAAGAGGATGTGAATGTGTAATTGACGAATTCTCGAAGAAACCAAAGCCAAAGCCGTAACTATGGGGTACTTACCCTCTGGGTTGTTGGGCGGCGCGCAAATGTTTGCCTTGGGACTTCATGCGAGAACCGCCCAATCAGTTAAGTTTCGTAGGAAGCAGCAACTGTCAAGTGTTTGGATGGACTGGATTGGTCGGTGAACCCGCAGTTGTCGTCATTGGTCCCCGCTTGCATTCTGCGCCCTGCCGTAACCGTATTTGTAGTTTCTTGAAAGGCAACAAAGGGCGGATGGTTTGGATGGCCATGACATGCGTCCAAGTAAAAAGGAGGGCCTGCAATTGCAGGCGCAGTTGTGGGGTGTGGTCAGGGCAAGCGCTCTGTGTGTGTGCGCGTGTTTCAGCAGCTGCGGCTGGCTTGTGCAAAAGGATCGCTGTCCGAAAGGTTCTCATGATTAGCATGTTGTTTGGGTGCGGTGAGCAAGCCCTTGCATTCAACAAGCCTGGGGTTCAAATGTCCAAACATGTATGGACCACTTCTCCTAATTCCTAATCTTCCAGCCTCAAACTGCATATCCGGCCAGCGGAACCAACCCATCAAAATGACACCTCCCCCCCCTGCCGCTGAAAAAGCGCCAAGTCTCTACGATGCAAAGCTCCTTTGGACTCAGTGACAGCCGCCGCCCACATTTCAGCAACCGCATAGTGCAGGCAAGGAGGACAACCTGGCGGTGAATCAGTGCTCAACACCCACCAGCCCAGTGAGGTTTGGCTTTGCCAACATTCGAGCGACAAATCGATACTATGGCTCCAAAGCATGAAAGAAGCAACCTCGAACCGAGCTGCCAACCCTGGTAGGGCCCAAATCCTGCCAAGTGGCCGAAACGAGCCGCGCACCTCGGAAAAAAAACCATGTGAGGCAACGCTGTTAACCAGGGGCGGCGCGTTTGATCCCCCGGCCACCTGTGTTTGTTTCAGGTAGTCCTTAGAATCGACTCCATCAGATACGTGCGTCTCAAACTAGGGATTCGCCGCCCGGAAAATGGTGGGTTCCCGTTGGCTTCCCTTTCAAGCCACTTCCAAGCGGGCATTACAGTGAGGTGCACCAATGCAAACTTCCCGGGTCAGGCGAACTTCCAAATAAATGCTCCGCTCGACTAAGTTGTGTTCCCTTTTGCGGGCTTTCAGGGAAATACACTTCCGAGTATCTCTCGTGATTAGAAGCATTGTCATTGGTCTCTTGCTAGAGCTGGAATCGGCCAGTCAGAGTTCTGAAGTCAATATGCTTGCTAGTCCTAAATGATCTGTGGAATTCAGCGTGGAATTCAAGGATCAGGTGCTAGTTACCTCACTCTGCGCAACTGGGCTGAAGCAAACGCTTCTCAAGCACTGCGCGAAGGGCCGAGGGTCGACTTTCGGCCCTCCACTAAGCCTTGTTTGGACCAACCGCGGCACACAAGGGCCGACGAAGATCGTCAACCGGCCCTGCTGCCACCAGATTTAGGGTGCCATCTGGGCTTCATCTCCACTTTTCCCATAAAACCAAGGGTTTTATTTTGCAGCTTCAACCCCGGCCCCCCTCCAACACGCTCCTTAGACGAGCCAAACATCGTCGCTCGCATCCGAGACGCCCACGATGCACACCTCAGCTAGGCCCGTGGCCCCAGTTTGCCCCGCGCCGCCCTGTTGCCATGCAACGCAGGTCGCAGCATTTACAAAAAGCTCAATTGCTGAGTATGGACCAAAAGAAACAACTAGTTGCCGAATTGAGGCGTGTCCCACTTGCAAAGTGTATGTCGGGAATCGTTTGGGTGGACCTGCTTTCAGTTTAGTTGAAAGGGCAAGCTCAAGTCGCTTTGCGTGAGATCAACTTGGGGGGGCACGTCACATAGCCATAGACTTATTCTGTGAGCTTCTTCCTTGGTTGGAACAGGATAACTTCCGCTGCTCCCAACGGGGTTGGGGGGTGGTCTGTTCTTGGCTTGAATGCCAATGACATGCGTTTAGATAAATAAATGAATGTCTTTCTATCTATCTATCTATCTATCCATCTGTATATATGTGTACGTATAATATGCGTATGTATATGTCTCCCTATTGTATAGATGCACATGTTGTTTGATCCAACTTGCGGAGGTGGAGGCCAACTTTTGGAGTCGACCCCTGATCCCGACGACCTGTGAGGACAACCGGAGCACAGGCACAACCGCCAGTGTGTTCGAAAATGTCTCACTGGACAAACCTAGGTCCTCCAGTACAGAGGCTGGAATAAGGGTACCAACTTGTTTCTGCAGTCTATTTTTAGTAGGGGAACCCTCCCCCGAAAAACGAAACGGTACAAGGGCACCTAGCTGGGGGACCTAGAAACCAGGTGCTTTCAACCTCAAGGTCTGCACTTTGGTTGGAGCTCCCGGACGCCCAGCCGACGCCACCCTGGCGCCGATGTGATTATGCTTCCCAAGCAATGCATCGGACACGGAAAATTCGCAAAACGGATTCAAGGCCAACTCTCCAAACCGTTTCAAGCTTTCAACCCCACAGAGTTTGTGATTTTGTGCCATCCCCTTTTTCCGTTAGACCTTGATCACTGCAGGAAGGCCTCAGAATTGCCATAGCAAAGCCCCCAGACAGTTTCAGCCCAGCGGCAATGTAGTACATGATCAGCCGCACCTGAAAGCCGGAGTGCTTCTCCTGGCGAATTTGGGGAGAGGCGAGTGGAGCAACTCATCTGGATCGAGCGAATTGCTTCACTTGACACGGGTGGTTTGGAACTGGAAGGCAAATCAGAAGGTGCATATGGCTCAGTATGCTGTGCCCTTCAACAACCCTCTATGCTGGCGGACCCTTTCTTTTCCGTCTCTGTTTCAAACAGAACACGGCTTGAAGGCGCAAACAAAACCCCGAGGCGCTTCTGTCACAAACGCCAAATATGCAAAGTGCCGCTTGCATTGCTGGTTGTACTGCAGTGCTGCTATATGCAGCCTTGCCAAAATCACGAATTCTATGTGGACATCAGATTCAATTTGGAGCATCACCTCATTGGGTACGTTACCCTCGTTCACATCATGCCTGAAGATGCATTCTGGTGTGGGCAAATGTGGTTCCTGACTGAAGCCCGTGCCAAGCGCGTTTGCAGCTCCCAGGGCAAGCTTTCAAACCGCCCGGCCACGAAAGCAGGCAGGAGGAACTCCCAAGGCAGGATGCCAGTCAAAGAGGGGGGACGGCTCAGATTTCGCAAGGGAAAATACTTGGGCGATGTCTGAAAGTCAACGCAGGGGCTCGGTTGTCGCGAATTCGGACTGGGAATGGACTTGGCCGGCGGCCGAAGAACATCTAAAACTGAGAAGACTGCCCCCAAATCACTACCCCCATAACCAAAGTATATACAAAGGATGATGCTGACCCCATATTAACAAACCCCAGTTTGTTCGTATGGAAGTGTTCCCCTCCAAAAGTGATGGTTCCCCACTAAGCCCGAAAACACCCCCTGTTAATAAACAGGTACACTAGAAAGTCTATATGAGTGTTATACCCAAAGGTGTCCTTTTTGGGCTTCCCTGGTAGATGATCAAACAGGTAAACCAGGAATCGAAACCCATCTACTTTTCCACCCAAACCACCCCAAAAAAGGACACCTAGGGTGTCAAAGGTTGAATCGGCCATGAGGAACCCGGCAACGGCTCGGCTCTCCGTAGAGGTGTAGGCCACCGCAGTGAGCCCGAAGTAGCCGAAGACCACGCTCTCGGCCATGTAGGCCATGAGCTCCGCCAGCTCACCTTGGATCCAAACCTCACAGCCCCGAATTCGAGAGGTAAGATTTGGGGTAGACGAAAAACCTACCTGCTCCAAAACGTAGATGTTTTCTGTCCAGAGAATGTGCCTTTGGTGTGACTCTGTGACTCTTAGCTCCTTGGCTCTTCGCTCGGAAATGGCCCAGAAGGGCAAAGTGAAGCTGAGCTCATGACCTGGAAACCCATCTTGGCAGGCCGTGGTTCTCTTGCTTGTTTTTTTTGGTGTGTGTGTCTTTGTGTGTGTGTTACCCTTAATTGGTGCTTTGAATGGTGTGTGTTTTGTGTGCGTGTGTTACCCTTAATTGGTGCTTTGAATGGTGTGTTTTTTGTGTGCGTGTGTTACCCTTAATTGGTGCTTTGAATGGTGTGTTTTGTGTGTGTGTGTTACCCTTAATTGGTGCTTTTAATGGTGTGTTTTGTGTGTGTGTTACCCTTAATTGGTGCTTTGAATGGTGTGTTTTTTGTGTGCGTGTGTGTTACCCTTCATTGGTGCTTTGAATGGTGTGTTTTGTGTGTGTGTGTGTGTTACCCTTAATTGGTGCTTTGAATGGTGTGTTTTGTGTGTGTGTGTGTGGTGCGTTGACCCTTAATTGGTGCGTTGAATGGTGTGTTTCCCTTGTGTGTGGTGTGTACCCTTAATTGGTGCTTTGAATGGTGTGTTTTGTGTGTGTGTTACCCTTAATTGGTGCTTTGAATGGTGTGTTTTGTGTGTGTGTGTGTGTTACCCTTCATTGGTGCTTTGAATGGTGTGTTTTGTGTGTGTGTTACCCTTAATTGGCGCTTTGAATGGTGTGTTTTGTGTGTGTGTTACCCTTAATTGGTGCTTTGAATGGTGTTTTTTTGTGTGTGTGTGTGTTACCCTTAATTGGTGCTTTGAATGGTGTGTTTTGTGTGTGTGTGTTACCCTTAATTGGTGCTTTGAATGGTGTGTTTTTGTGTGCGTGTGTGTTACCCTCAATTGGTGCTTTGAATGGTGTGTTTTGTGCGTGTGTGTTACCCTTAATTGGTGCTTTGAATGGTGTGTTTTGTGTGTGTGTGTTACCCTTAATTGGTGCTTTGAATGGTGTGTTTCTTGTGTGCGTGTGTTACCCTTAATTGGTGCTTTGAATGGTGTGTGTTTTGTGTGCGTGTGTTACCCTTAATTGGTGCTTTGAATGGTGTGTTTTTTGTGTGTGTGTGTTACCCTTAATTGGTGCTTTGAATGGTGTGTTTTGTGTTGTGTGTGTTACCGTAATTGGTGCTTTGGTGTGTTTTGTGTGTGTGTTACCCTTAATTGGTGCTTTGAATGGTGTGTTTTTTGTGTGTGTGTGTTACCCGTAATTGGTGCTTCGAATGGTGTGTTGTTTGTGTGTGTGTGTTACCCTTAATTGGTGCTTTGAATGGTGTGTTTTGTGTGTGTGTGTGTGTTACCCTTAATTGGTGCTTTGAATGGTGTGTTTCTTGTGTGCGTGTGTTACCCTTAATTGGTGCTTTGAATGGTGTGTTTTGTGTGTGTGCGTGTGTTACCCTTAATTGGTGCTTTGAATGGTGTGTTTTGTGTGTGTGTGTTACCCGTAATTGGTGCTTCGAATGGTGTGTTGTTTGTGTGCGTGTGTTACTCTGAATTGGTGCTTTGAATGGTGTGTTTTGTGTGTGTGTTACCCTTAATTGGTGCTTTGAATGGTGTGTTGTTTTTGTGTGTGTGTTACCCTTAATTGGTGCTTTTAATGGTGTGTTTTGTGTGTGTGTTACCCTTAATTGGTGCTTTGAATGGTGTGTTTTTGTGTGCGTGTGTTACCCTTAATTGGTGCTTTGAATGGTGTGTTTTGTGTGTGTGTGTGTTACCCTTAATTGGTGCTTTGAATGGTGTGTTTTTTGTGTGCGTGTGTTACCCTTAATTGGTGCTTTGAATGGTGTGTTTTGTGTGTGTTACCCTTAATTGGTGCTTTGAATGGTGTGTTTTTTGTGTGCGTGTGTGTTACCCTTAATTGGTGCTTTGAATGGTGTGTTTTGTGTGTGTGTGGGTTACCCTTAATTGGTGCTTTGAATGGTGTGTTTTGTGTGTGTGTGTGTTACCCTTAATTGGTGCTTTGAATGGTGTGTTTCTTGTGTGCGTGTGTTACCCTTAATTGGTGCTTTGAATGGTGTGTTTTGTGTGTGTGTTACCCTTAATTGGTGCTTTGAATGGTGTGTTTTTTGTGTGCGTGTGTTACCCTTAATTGGTGCTTTGAATGGTGTGTTTTGTGTGTGTTACCCTTAATTGGTGCTTTGAATGGTGTGTTTTTTGTGTGCGTGTGTGTTACCCTTAATTGGTGCTTTGAATGGTGTGTTTTGTGTGTGTGTGGGTTACCCTTAATTGGTGCTTTGAATGGTGTGTTTTGTGTGTGTGTGTGTTACCCTTAATTGGTGCTTTGAATGGTGTGTTTCTTGTGTGCGTGTGTTACCCTTAATTGGTGCTTTGAATGGTGTGTTTTGTGTGTGTGCGTGTGTTACCCTTAATTGGTGCTTTGAATGGTGTGTTTTGTGTGTGTGTGTTACCCTTAATTGGTGCTTCGAATGGTGTGTTTTTTGTGTGCGTGTTTTTTGTGTGCGTGTGTTACTCTTAATTGGTGCTTTGAATGGTGTGTTTTGTGTGTGTGTGTTACCCTTAATTGGTGCTTTGAATGGTGTGTTTTGTGTGTGTGTGTGTTACCCTTAATTGGTGCTTTTAATGGTGTGTTTTGTGTGTGTGTGTGTGTTACCCTTAATTGGTGCTTTGAATGGTGTGTTTTTGCGTGCGTGTGTTACCCTTAATTGGTGCTTTGAATGGTGTGTTTTGTGTGTGTGTGTGTTAGCCTTAATTGGTGCTTTGAATGGTGTGTTTTTTGTGTGCGTGTGTTACCCTTAATTGGTGCTTTGAATGGTGTGTTTTGTGTGTGTGTGT